GGGAAGGGTGACCAGCCACAACCCAAGACACCCACTCCCGACCATACACTGAGGATTTTGGAAACAACTTCATCATACTGTTCAGAGCAAGTCCTCACGGCTCTGTCACGAATCCATTGTGTTCATATATTTTCATTAAATAATTATAAAATAATGCCTATCGCGCCATTGCTCATTCGGCCTTATTCCATAAACAAAGTTTGTCATTCCGCATCGCTCGTGTGTGTGTGTGCCACTCGACAAATCCCATTCCATCTTCCAATCAGCGGTTTCGCTTTGATTGTTTCAGGCACTGTTGGCCAAAGGCTTGGCANTTCTCTATTAAGCATACTGTCCCCCCCCGTTCAGATTCGGATCGTGATGACCACACATTTCTGTTTGTGTCCGTGTGTTGCGAATATCCCTCGACCGCACTCTGCGTAGAGTTAACTTTGATTCCTCTTTTGACTCGGCCCCGGGGGCGAGTGAACTCTGGTTAAATTTGGTTTTAAACGACGGTCACGATTGTTTGACAGTTTGACGAGATCTCCTTGTTATTCCATGCTTACACCTTTTTTAGGCGAGGTCTGTTAAATTACAATGCGCAGCCTTTTAATGTTTATTTTCATTACAGTAAGGGCTGACAAATTATTGAAAATCAGTTCTGGAAGCTCGGGTGAATTGAATTCCATTTCGCCTGTTATCCGAGCTTGGCAATTTGCTTGCAAACGTTTCATCACCAGTCGAGGTGACATCATCAGTGCTTGTGAAGTGGCAGTGTTCTGCTTGTATCCGTTTGTTTATCCAAGTGTTGTTCTCCACCGACTATTCTTGTCCTTTGTTCTTATTGTGTTCGACTCAGTTCGCCGTTGAACTGATGCGAGGGGATGAGGGTGGGTTGTCCTTTCGTCCTGTTTCCGTCTGTTCGCAGGTCACTGCGTGACCATTTTTGTTGCGTCTTTTGATCCTTGAGTTTTATTGGCGTATACACGTGACCCAGTTCGATGTGCCAGTTTATTGAGTTGATTTCAGGATGCCATGCCTCGAGAAATTCCCTGGGGTTATGACAAGGCTTGGTCGATAATTTTCAGTGATTCAAAGTCAAACTGATGTGCTTCTTGATCTTCGTGTCGGGAAATCAACGATAATGGGTCACGTCTTATACCTGCCGATTGGTGTTCACGGATCCTTGTTGACAGTTTTCTTCCAGTTTGTCCGATATAATGTTTCGGGCAGTTATTGCAGTTTATTTTCTAGACAACACTGCTCTTGTCCTTCTCCATTGTTGTCTCCTTTGGTTTTGACCAAGTCTTCATAGACAGGCGATCGGTTTGTGGGTGACTGGGATTTCATATGAACTCAGCAATCTGACTGTCATTTCCGAAATATCCTTGATGTACGGTAGGGTCGTTCTTGTTCCCGATTCTCCGTCAGTTGTTTTTTTTCTTTAAGCCAGAGTTCTTTTGATGAAGTTACGGGGGTAGCCCCTGCGAGCAAACACTTTGAGGAGGTATCTTTCTTCTTGAGTATGTCGGTGCTGCAGTGTGTTTGGCTTCTTCCGAACAAGGTTCAAACAGCATCTTTTGTGGTTGTGTGGATGATCACTTTTAAAGTTCAAAATTTGGTAGGTATGGGTTGATTTGCGGTAGTTCGTTGTTTTCAGTTTTCCTGAAGGCGTTCTGCTGGTCCAGATGTCCAAAAATGTCAGCTGTTTATCTTTGTCCGTGTCCATCGTGAACTTGATGCCGTTGAATGTGTTATTGCTTGTGTTATGTGTTGTTTCTAGTTCTGACTTCTTCAAGATGACAAATGTGTCATCGAAAAGACCAGTGAAGTGAAGAATTCTTTTTGATTACTCATCCTCAAGCTTCTACATTAATATATGATCACAAGGTGGCAACAAAAGTCATGATTTACAAAATAAACCGGGGGGGGGGGTTACAGGGTTGTAATCACTTGTCTAAACTGATTCTGAACATGTGTCATCAACGTATCGGAACCAAAGTTTTGGCATGATTCATCATATTACCTTCTCCAGCTTCTGCATTACGCTTTCGGCTATGAATCAAGAACTTGGTGATTCCATTGGTGTTCCTTTCGGCTGTTGGTAAATCTCACCCTCGATTTCGAAGTACGTCTGTATGCATAGTTTCATGCGACCGAAAATTGCAGCTGGTTCCATCGGTTGGTTTAGTGGGTGCTCAGCTATCAATTCCTGCAATGTGAATCTTCCCAGGTACAAGTCGATGGAAGTGAACGGATCGGTGATGTCAAACGAGACCATTATTTCGTCTTCTTGGATGTTGACAGTTTTGGGCTTGTCCAGGAACTGCCTTGAGTTCATGATGCTATACTGGTGGCCTGCGATAAGCGGCTTTAGTCGTTTCTATATTTATTTTGCAAACCTGTATGTGGCTGTGCCTGGAAGAGAGACAATCGGCTTCAGGGGAATTCCTTCCTTGTGTACCTTTGTCAGTCCGTCGAATTGTGCGATAACGGAGTTTTTGGCTCTCATTCATCAGTGCTCCTCTGGTTATTTGATGCAGTTCTTCCAGTCATTTCAGTGTGGCATTGATTTTGCTTTTCAGTTTTGCCGTAGGGTCCGTTTCGATTCTGCGATAGGTGTTTGTGTCTTGGAGTAGTCAGCTTTGTCCATAACTACAGTAATTCGTCGTTTATCTGCTGGGAGAATGACTATACTTTTGTCCATCTTCAGTGTTTTGAGTGCTTTGTCCTCGCGGTTTGATAGCATGGTGGGTTTTCCTTTTCGTATCAGAGCTGAGACGATTGTTTGCCGGGGCTTACATTTCAAACATCTTGGTTACTGCACAGTGTGTATAGGGCTATTTTATGAGAACTTCAGGCTCAATTGTTTTGCATCCGCGATCTGATAGGGATTTCTACTTCTGAAGCCGGGGTTTGTTATTAGCTTTTGGATTTTGACGTTCCAAACACTTTGGTCGAGTGTTGATGTTGTTCATATGGCATAGCTCGTGTGGCCTAGTCTGGCTATGAAACGTCTGCGCAAACAACATTTCCGGCTCGGATAACACACCAACACTCCGCATCCATGCCCTCCCTCTCGTAATCATTTCACATTATTCCCAACGTTGTCCAAGTTCCTCAAAACTGCTAATAGTCAAAAAATGAGTTACCTAAGAAGTAACAAAACCCATAAAGCACCAAACAAACACAGATATTCTATTGCGTTCGATGAGAGCAAATCTGTCTGCCCTAGGGTTGGATAACATTGGTGGGGTTGGAATCGCGAACGATACCAACAACAACAATTGGACATTCTTTCAATGCCAGCTAGACAGATGAATTGTTTCCTATTAGTGCGATTCCAGTGTTGCAATTGCATCGACTCTGTTTGTCTCGTTTTTTTTTCGAACCCCGAATGTTGGTGG